TTGAAGGTATCAACTCTACTCTGCGTGCCTCGTTCTTGCAGATGCCTGAAAACACTGTAAAATACAGTGTTTTGGTTGGTTATTTACCATCTATATGACAGCTGCACAGACCCAAAAGCACAACATCTCCTGAAAATGCAATCTCTGAGACCTGCACATGCCAAACAAATCTTCAGACCAATTGAGTTCTTTCCACAGCTCTATTCCAATTTAAGTCATATTTGGGAAGGGATTCCTACTTAAACCTTTATGTTCAAAAGCCAATTGAATTCTGTCTGCATTAAAGTATATCTAAACTCTACTGACATTTCCTTATTTGGAAAGGTATTCCTATTCAAAGTCTGATTCACTATGGAAATTATGGTGAATTCTGGATTGCGGTGAACTATGTCCTTACTAAATTCCATTCAACATTCCAATTCAATTCGGAGTAAAATCTTATTTGGAAAGGAACTTATAGTTGGACATGTTGGAGGACTCCCGCTCCAAATTATGAGGCTTGGCGAATCCGATGTTAGACATTTCGAGGATTCTGATCTCCAGATTCTAGGTTTCAGGTGTTCCACATGGAAATGTCAAGGGATTGGAGGTCCAACAAAATGCTGTTAAACGCAGTGTTTTGCAGAAAAAGTCATCAAATTGTGTTTCCTTGGACCGAAGATTGCTTCTTCCCAAACGACAGTTTTGTCCATTCAATTTTCAATTCAACTCGGAATAAAATCTTATTTGGAAAGGAACTCATGTTCAAGGACTCTCGGCTCCAAATTATGTGGCTTGGAGAATCCGATGTTAGATATTTCGAGGATTGGATCTCCAAATTCTAGGTTTCAGGCGTTCCAACATTGAATGTCAAGGGGTTAGAGGTCCAACAAAATGCTGCAAAACCCGGTGTTTTGCAGAATCTGCTCATATTGTGTTCCCTTAAACCGAAGATTGTTTTCTTCCCAAATAACATTTCTCCCCCAAACAACAGTATTCATTTGCTACGCATTCAGCCTACATAAGGTTTATAAACTTGCAGGAAGGCAGTTTTTTCCTTCTCGATTGTTTGGCGATTTCCTGTAACAAGGCAACACCCCGGGAAGTCTTCATGGTCATGGTATCGTTGAAGGGAAGTCTGAACAGTGAGAGGACATCCAGGTTCTTTGTCGTTGTTCCTTTTGCAAGGGCTTATACAACCGAATTTCAAAGATCATGACACACCTGCCTCATTTGACACAAGTGTCTCGTGAGTCTTGTCACTTGCTCCATGGCCCTTTCGCGAACCTTTTGCGGGGAATGACAAACCCCGACGAACGTTTAAAGGCCTAAGAAATCCACGTTTCGAAAAGAGTGGTGCCCCTCCAACTCCGCTTTCAAATGCAGAGGTTCTAGAAGCTTGCTCAATGTCGCTCACCTTTGGATGCCTTCTAAAAAAACCTGCTGGTTCTCCCAAAACTGGTCATTCCCTCCTGAAAATGCACCCAGCAAGTAAAAGACAGAACCCCCCCCGCCTGAGAAAAAAAAAAAAACAAAAAACATAAGAACATATATTCCCAGCAGTAAGACCGATTTCCTTTCAGACGAAACCCAGCAAGGGAAGGCAATGTCTACTTCTTTCGCAATCCCAGCGGATCCCAGTTCTCCTAATCCGAGAGCTTAAAATAAGGGCACCTTATCTCTGTAGTCTATTTTAGTAGGGGAACCCTCACAACCAAAAAAGGGGGTTAAGAAGGGCACTGGAAAACCTAGAATCATTCTAGTTTACCAGCGAGTTCTCATGTTTTTGAGTTTGTTCCAGGTTCTAAGAAGCCCCCCTGCAGGTTTTCTGCAGGTCCCAGGTGCCAGGACAAGCACCAGGATGCCGTAGAAGGCGCTGGCGTCCACCAGCGCCAGAAGAATGACACTGGCCAGGAAGATCTGCAGCCTCGGGAAAAAACAACGCCTTTTTGCCTTGGGGTTGGTGACAAAGCTGTGCTTTTGCCTTGGGGTTAGTGACAAAGCGGTGCTTTTTACTACCTTTAACTTGGGGGAGAAAGGCAGAACTGTTTCTCGCCCTACCTACTGGGGTTGGAATCGGAACTGTTTTCGTTTAGGACCTTTTAACTTGGAAGGACTGTAGTCCCCCCAGATTTCGGTCATTCTTGTCAGGCAATCTTATGACACAGGAGGGGAAAGTCCTGTTTTTCCCCTATCTACCACTGTGACTACCATGCCAAACACACTTCAGGCCAGAAACTATCGTTCTCTCCGGGTCAAATGTGAAAAGCTGATATCCTCCGTTGGTTCGATCTGTGATTTCTCAGAAGCCCGGGTGGGCAAGCACATAAACCACAGCCCAAGAAAGGAGATCGGAATGTGATTTTCGAAGAACAAACGACGTCCGTGGGGAGGGGCTTCGGCCACCAGATCTTGGCAACGGAGTCCTGCCACGCGCGCGCTGCACCGAGGTTTGCGCGCTTGCAAGCATGCATGCGTCTTCCGCCTGTGTGTGGGTGTTTGTACTGTGGGCGAAAGTGTG